CCAAGGTCTGCTGCCAGCTGGAGCAGTAGCCAGACTTTTCTCTCTCTTGGCCATAGGGGTTGAGTGCCTGGATGGCTGAGCACTCTGACCCTGATTTGGAGAAATAATTTCTCCATGCCGGCGCAATTCTGGAACCTGGTGTGGCCGCCGCCACCATTCTGGAACATGGGGCTCAGCAGCCTTCCCCTCAAGGCTAAGTCCCTGACCTTTGCAGCTCTGAGGCAGCAAAGGGTGTAGACCTGCCTCCTCCTGTGATGCCCTCAGGCCATCCCTTCCATTCTCAGGTTCCTTCCCTGCAATGGAGATCCTCTCAGCTCCATCTTTGCAGTCTACAGCTTTCTTGGTGCTTTCTTTCTGGCCAAGCTCACATTTTAAATCCTCCTGCTGGGCTCCTTGCTCTTGATTCTCAACATAAATCTGGCTAAAAGCCCCCAGCAACAACCAGGCCACTGCCCCAATATTTGGCTGCTTTGAAATATCTTTTGCCAGATATATCAGTCCACCATGCTTAAACTCACTCTCAGGCAAAGTCTCTGGACACGAGCAAAATGCAGACAACTTTTCTGCCACGTCAAAACACAAATGATCCGCAGTCCAACAACCAATGCTGTCCTTCTTCCCAGCAGAAACCTCCCCAGCCTGGTCTTTACAGGCCGGCCTTCTATCAACCTTCTGGTCTTCTGAGTTCTGACCAGAATCTCCCATACAGAACAGCCGAAGCTGTTCCAACGCTTCACGTGTAGGTGACATCTCTGAACCTTTCCTATCTCTTCCCATAAGCCAGTCCCAAAAGCTTGTAATCCACATTGTCAGGTATAGCCACAGCAACGACCCCACTCCTCTGGTACCAAATTCTGTCTTAGTTACTTTTTACTCGTTGCTGGGACAAATACCCGACACTCAAAATGAAGGAAGAAAAGGTTTATTAAGCTCACAGTTATTGGAGGGTTCAGTCCATATTCCGCTGGCTCCAAGGCAAACGACAGCAGTTCATGCAGCAGAAAACAATGAAGAGCGGAGGAGGAGCAGCAGCTGCAGCGGCATCCATCAAGCCTCACTCTTCCTTCTGCGCTGACTGCGAAGACCAGCGCTCCACAGTGAAGATCGGAGCTCCTCCAAAGTGGCCCGGCTACAAAGACCAAGCTCCTCCAAAGACAGACTTCTCCACGGAAGCGGGGCTGGGCAGCAGGAAAACCAGGCAGGGCGGCTTCCTGCCTTTCTCAATTCCTGGGCCCTGCCCACCTGAAGGGTGAGGCCCCCCGGAGCTGATTCAGTCAAGTTGACACAATGTATCAACCACTACAGGCTCCCTGCACCCAGGAGCCGACAGTGATGTCACCGTGGCATTAGCCACACTGTGTGCAGGCCACCATGGAGACTTCTAATCCTTTGGTGGACAGGGTCGGCTGAGGAACATTGAGAATGAACAGCATGGTGCTTGGAGTCCCGGGGCCCTCGGTCGGATCACTCTGCCACCCCTGGGATGCCAGCCGCTGGAGTTAGCAGAGGCAACACCTGAGATTCCAGGCCCTGGTAGCCCCCACCTCTGCCTTCCCAGGCCTGGCAGGAGGACATCAGCAACAAATAGCACCCATGGCTTCACCCACACAGCTGAAGGAGGCAGGCTGTGGCCCGTCTTTATGAAAGTAACTGTTACTTTACACTGGAAACAAATTCTCCTGAAGCTCTGGGTGGGGACCCAGGAGCCGCCATCTTTAAAGTGGCAGAGATGGATAGGAAGGGGAAGTAGTCCGCTAACAGTGCTCACCC